TGTCTTTGCACAAGGCTACAGCTCCAGAAGAAGCTCCTGCAGAGCCCAGAGGATCCTTAATAATGATTTAAGTCACAAAGTTGTCTTTTTAAATTTTTTTTTTAAATTTTGAATTTTCTCCTGCTTTCATAAAAATAAAACTTAACATGCAAATAAATATAATAAAAGTGACAACCCCTTCTCCAAATCTCCAGATACTGGCTGACATGCTGACCAGCCACACGCTTTAAAGCGTCAGAGGAAGGTATGTAGCACAGTCCTATCAGTGGCAGCAGCGTGGCTGCTTGCCTACTGGCCAAGTGCCAAATGCATTCTTACACCTTCACAAAAATATTGCCAAAACAGTGGCAGATGCTGAAGTCCTGAGAAAATGAACAAAAACCAAACAAAGCACAAGTCGTACCCTTCTGTAATCCAGTGAACTCTTAACGCACAAACTGTGACCCCGTATTGACAATCCCCTGAGAAAGAGCCAGATGCACACGAACACATGGAAATGCTGTGATGCTTAGAAAAGCAAAGCTCTGGATATAAGGGCAATACAGCAAGTAAATACAACAGCTTGTAGCAGTCATGTTGCAGAGTAATACCTGAAATTTTGACCTATGGGAGACCAGCCTTTAAAATATATGCAACAGACTTCTTCTGCCCATCAAATCATGGCAAATAACTTCAAACAACAGACAGGAACATGTGAAGTGCCAGGATGTGAGAAACACAAAACGCTATTGTTCTGTCAGCCGCAGAATGACGGAACGGTTGAGGTGGGCCGTCACCACTCCAAACCGCCTAGTGCCAACCCCTCTGCTCAAGCAGGGTCAACAACAGCAGGTTTCCCAGGACGGCATCCAGTCAGGCTTTGGCTATCTACAAGGATGGAGACTCCACAAGTCCTCTGGACAACCTATTCCAGTGTTCAAGCCCCGTCAAGCAGCGTTTTCTTACGCACGCATGAGCACAAATCCTGCTTAGTGAAGGTTTTACAATGTGTTTGTGTTAAGACACATTTGATATTGACGTAGTTGCAAAAAACTACGAAGGGGCCTGACAAGACAGAAAATGATGAAGGCATGACGGTTATGTCATTCCAGAAACAGCCACAGGTTGGAGAGAAGCCGAGGAGAGCTCCAAAACAGATCTACGGACTGGCTAGGAAAGACAAAAATCATGCTGCTTTGTAACGGAGGAGAAATCCCCGTTACAGTCCCATGAACAAAGCCCACTTTGTAGTCATGACGTGCCAGACTGGCAGTTTCAGGGAAGAAGTCACCATCGGCTCCCTTTGACAGCCTGCAGTAATTACACTGATGTGATAAATCAGGAGAGGGGATTAAGAAAAACCAAACTACAAGCTGTTCAAGAGGTAGTGTTTTTTCTGTGATGGGCCTGGTGTGGTTAGGTTTGAATTTGGCTGGATTCAGCTCTGGGAAATTTTAGAATCATCCTTATTGCTGAATCAGGCCCACACAAACAGCCATCCGCCCACACAGTCACTGTTCCCCATTAAATTCCGCATGCATTTCTGTTCAGCTGAACAAAGGGCTAGTTTGAACTCAAACATCATGCTGTTTTCTACAACAATGCTTACTAATCAACACTAACATAATCTTTTTTTTAAAACACATGTTAAAAACTAAATCTATAGACAAAGCTGCCAGCTTTGAGCGACGTAAAATGAGAAAGGCAGCAATTAAATGGTCACAGCAGATGATGCAGCCGCTGCACTCACACTTACCTTGATGCCAAAGGTGAAGACTGTCATGATAATTTTAAATATGAGCGCTAAACACAACTGCCATATAGCTGAATAGACTCCAGTGCCTGCCGGACGGTCAGGAATATCATCTACGATTTTGCTCGCATTCATATCGTTTCTGTAGTCACAGAGGGAGGAGGATTCTAATGGCCCACAGTCCGTGAAGAGCTCTTTAATGAGCTCACTGGTGTTTAGCCTTGTATATGGATTAGGAAACGCAATGACAGCCGTTACTGCCGCAACAATAATAACCTCCAGGACAGGATACTTCCCGAATTTCGTGGATTTGCGTCGACGACACCATGCAATGTTTGCTCGGATGAAAAATGCTCCCCAGAGCCCGCCGAATACTCCCAAAAGGATAAAAGGAAGCAGTTCAAAAAGGTACCAAGGCGTGTGATACTCCACATAAAAAAGAACTAGGCGGCTATTACCAAAAGGATTGATGGACCTTAAAACAAACGCAGCCACTAAAGCAGCAAAAAATGATCTCCATAACGTTTTCAGTGGGAAATAGTAACTGACCTGCAAAATGCAATACATGAGAATTAGTAGTGATTCAATTAAAAATACTGGAAAGACTGCATGTGGTACAGCACTGCTGCTCACATGGCATATGCTAATAGCACTCTGACATGATCAGGATCGCCCCGATGACTTGGAGCGCTGGCGCTCTGGAACATTCCACGTTTTTATAAAGCTCTACAGCAGTTCATACTTCTATCAGTTTTAAAGACAACACTGAGGCAGTACTGAAACCGCTGCTGGTTTAAGACTGCGAGGAAATACTGCAGAGCAATTTCTGTTTAAAAGCCTCTCTCTGGAAGCATTCTCTCTCTGGCATCCATAAGAACCAGGCTGTGTGCTAGCTGCTCTCTCAAGTTTCCCGCCCATACTGTTTCACCTCGACTCAACCTGCCCTGACAGGTTTCCTGCAGATGTGTTATTTTTATATAAATAAATGTTATTTTAAAACATTATTAAATAAACATAGACGTAACATAAGTATGTTGTATTTAAAAAATGTGTTATTTTTACGCAGTACGATTAAAAGCTTTAAAAAAAAAAAAAAACCTCCAAACGGAGCACACAGTTTCATACTTCAGCCCCACACAGCCTGATCTGAATTTCCAAAGTTGTCTTTGGAGCTTTTTTTGTTTCTTTGAACTTTCTGGCAACAAAGGAATTCCTCAAAAATCTCCCAGTGATACAGCAAAATTATACAGAAAAGAATATTTTGCTTCCTTTACTTCAATGCAGAGGTTTTTAGTGTTTTTAAAAATGCTAATGATCTAACTAACGTTCTTAACAACTAATGAAAACTAATGCAATAAAGACTCTCTTCTCCAAGAAATGTTTTGGTTGCCTTGGCCAATTCGACAGCGTATCTGCCTTTTTAATAATTCACATATTCAACTGTGTTTAGTGTCTGAAACTTTAAGAAGTGATGTTTAAAAACTTGTTCCATAAAACTGTAAAATAGTTTCTTCTTTCAAAAGGGAAAAAAAAACAACCCCCCCGATTATTTTTTTTTTTTTGGAATACACTCCTAGAGTGAAAAACTGCTGTATCTCTATCTGTATGCAATCGGAACGACTAACTTAGCTGCTCCAGAAGGATATAACTGAGAATAAAGCAAAGCTGACATTCACCCAAAGGAAAGAAGAAATATCTTTAAGGGTTTTTTGCCAGTAACAGGACTCTTGGTTTTGAAATGTGGGTCCAAAAAAATATTTCCTTCTTAGGAAAGACTCTGCACTTTACAGGAGTCTGAGGTTATTCATGCTAAAAAAGGGGGTTTTTAGTAGACTTCGATGCCATCTCTTGACATACCTCCTCCAGACTGAAAAGGACTCCACCAATTGGGGCACCGAAGGCTACAGACACTCCCGCTGCTGAGGCAGCTGACAACACCTGGAAAAGAGCAACAATGAGGTGGGTTTCTTGCAGTTGACAATACGCTTCAAACGTGAAGAAGAGAATCTCACTACAGCTCTCTGTTTCTTCTACGTTTCTATCAAGGACACACAGACTTGCTCACAGAAAGTGTCAGGTACGTGTATCAGAATGCTCCTAAGATGTGGCCAGGTGCCATCGACCCCACCTCCAGTTGGGCCAGTTCCAGTCAGCTGCAAAACGGACCCACCAGTGCCCAAAGCTGAGCCTGTCAGTGACGTGGTGGTGCCTCTGCCGTAAGATGCTTAAGGAGAAATAAAAACTGCTGCACAGCAGCTGTGAGAGAGAAGTGAGAGACAGCCCTGCAGACAGCAAGGACAGTGGAGGAGGGGGAGGAGGTTCTGCAGGTGCACTTCCAGGGGCAGAGATTCCCCGCCAGCCTATGGTGAGGCAGGCTGTGTCCCTGCAGCCCACGGAGGACCACGACAGACCAGATATCCACCCTGCAGCCGGTGGAGGACCCCACTCGGGAGCGGGTGGATGTACCCTGAAGGAAGCTGCAGCCTGTGGAGAACCCACACCAAGGCAGGCTCCTGGCAGGAACCACAGCCCATGCAGGAGCAGGCTTCCTGTGGCCTCTGGAGGATCCGGGGTGGAGCAGCCCATTCCTGAAGGCCTGCACCCTGTGAAGGACTGTGTCCCATGG